GCCCCGAGCTGCGCCCACGCGGCCCCGCCACCCGAGCCGCCGCCGGCGAGAGCTCCCCGTGCCCGGTCCGCAGCCCCTTGGTTTAGTGGCATCCTTTACCCGACCCCACGGGCTCACACACAAGGAGGGCGAGGGCACATCTCTGCCACCCCCTGCTCCAAGCAGGACCGGCCCCGACTAGAGGATCCCAGCCAAAGCCTTGGTTTTCAAACCCTGCAGGGATGGAGACTTGGCAGCGCCTCGCCACCCTCCTAGTGAGAAGGGTCATCCTGATGTCCAGCCTCAGCCTCCCTTGCTGCATCACGGGCCAGCCCCGAGAACAGTCCGGCTCCGTCCTCTTTCGAACCCCGCTTCGGGGAGTTGAAGGCTGCTATTAAATCCCTCCTCAGTCTTTCCTTCTGCAGCGTAAATACGCCCAGTGCCCTCAGCCTCTCCGAAGCCATGTGCACCAGCCCCCGAACCATTTCCGTTGCCCGCCGCTGGGCTCGTTCCCACTTTGTCACATCTTAGTGGGGCCCAGCGGTGGCACTTGTAGACACGCACATTGCTGGAGCCAGCGGCAAGCTGGCATCCCCCGTTGATGAGAGATATCACTCTCTCCTTAGCGGGCCATTCTCTTCCTCCGGCGACGAGTCCGGTGGGACATGTAATCACCAGCTTCTCCAGCTGAGTGCTCTGTTTCTGCGGGAGGAGGGGCATTACTGCACTTTTACGGTCAGAGGACTTGGCTGGATGGAGAGTTTGTGCATCAACTGAGGTTTATGTGGCCCTCCTCCACTTTCCTTAATTGCTCTGTGGTAGCTGGCTGGGATTTATGCTTTAAGGGCGATGTAGTAGATTTACTTCATCTTTCTTGCATTACTTGGGAAAGGAAAGTTACTGGAAGCAGCGGGATGAAAAGGCTGAGAGAAGAGAATGTCTCAGGTTGGCTCAGCTCTCCTCTCTCACCCCAGGCATCACTCGGGTATGTGGAAGAGACACAAAGTTTGGCTTAAATCCCTGGTCAGACCCTTCTCTCCATTCATATAAGCCCTGGCCAATATAGACACTGGAAAAAAATTGCCAAGGTATTCACAGTGACCTGAGGAAGGGCAACTGATGCCCAAAAGCTTGTCCAACAGCTCTTCCAACTATACAGTCAGTCTGATAAAAGCTATTGCAACAAGCCTGGCCTTTTGACATTTCTTAGACGGTCATGGCTACAACAACACGCCGACCCTACAACCTGGACATTGCAACATCCAGGGCATTAATTAGGATATCCCAGCAGTCAAGAGGTTGTCATCCCTGACAGATGTATATTATGGAGACACAGGAGACTTCTGGGACTTGGCTGAGTGGCACTGAGTTAGCTGATTTGCCTGAGAAGATCTCAGGCACGCAACAACCGTAGCAAGGTGGGACAGCTGAGCCCAAGATGTAGCACCACCAGCCTCTTTTAATGGACAGCCTCGTGCCCCATTACCATGGTCTCAGCGGAGATCTGCAAACCCAGACATCAGTCTGAGTAGCCCTGTGCTAATTAAACATGGTTTGTTAGGAGGCTGCTAACCCAACCCACATTTGAGATTGTCTCTCCTGATAATACTTTTTGTTGTATTTGGCTGGGGAAGGATGATGTGGGGAAATGTACCTTTACGAGGCTCTCAAACAAGCTAGTTGGCACTGCTAACGGTGTTGCACAGAGCCTTATGTTACAGAAGGCCAATTAGTTAAAACTCAGACACCAAAATGAAGCAAATCCCTAGCTCGGAGCAATTACTGGCACCAGAGAGATGTCAGGGAAAGTCTTTGCTTTTACAGCCAATTTCCAGCCTCTGAGAAACCCAGCACTTTGATTAACAGAAAGATCTCTGGGAAAAGATGCCAAAAGCATCTTTGAAACAGATGCTCTGTTTGGTCACTCCCAATCCCCTTCCCTGCGGCCTTCATCCCTTGCCTGCTCTCTTTTTAGCCTATATATTTTGGGGGCACAAGCTGCGTCTTCCTGCACATTTCTACTGGACTTAACATGATGGAGATCCCCTCCTGTTGGATGCTACTGCAACACAGACAACGTGAATGTGCTTTGGCTGCTGAAGAGATCATCACAGAGGAGTTAAAGGCCACACACAATCTCTAGCTGTCTTGGGCAGGGTTCAGGCATCTTCACCATTTGCTAATCTCCAGACCAGGCTGCCTACACTGAAGTATTTACTGCTAATCAGTCCAACTGCTCCCTAGTCAGACCCTTCTCTCGTCCTTCTATAAGTGCTCTGGCTACCATAGATTGAGGAACAGAGTAAAATCTGCCAAGACATTTAAACTCGAGGGTAAATACAATCCTACAATGCCCTGTGGGTCTTATTCATGTTTCACCTAATCTGTGCTAATCCAGAGAATGAGCATAAAAGGCGTGTTGCCCTGAGCAGCAGCCTGTAAGAGCCAGGAGTTCCTCCTATGTTATGGGACAACAGAGGTTTAAGTCACTTGAGCAATGTCCATTGCTAATCCATTCCAGGTGAGGTTCCTGGTATGCAATCCTGATAATTATTATAGTTAATGCACAGGCCCATGGCGCCTGGGCCATGGGGCCCTTGCCAATCAGGGACCCCCTGGGGCACCAGGGGCAGCACGGCCCAGACAGGCATCCTGGCCATGGGCATCCGGGGTAGGCAGCTCATGCCTCCTCCCCTCCGGCCAGGCCAGGGCCAGGGGCTAGGGGCCGGTGAGGGGCTCCCTGTGGGAGGTGGCAGCTTCCCAGGGCTGTCTGCTGCCAGGAGGACCCATGGGCAGCCCTGTTCCTGCTCCCTGCCATCTGTGGGTGGCCGCTGGCACCAGCACTACTGGGACAGGATGGGACAGCCCCATCCCACCCTGCCTGGGCCGGAGCTCCTGGCCCCCTCCCTACCCCCCAAGCTGGCCTCGGCCCTGGCCCTTGCCTGGTGGGGGGCCTCCAAATTCCTGTTTGCCCAGAGCACCAATAAATCTTAATCCACCACTGAGTACAGGCCTACAGGATAATAGTCCTGGCATTTTCTCAAATAGGGCCAGATCCTGCAGTGGAATAAACTGTTGTCACTCTGTATAAAGCATTGGGGGATCCAGCCCATAATCTGGAGGACAGATTCCACTCTCAGGGCCATGGGCACACATGTGGAGCAACACTAATCAGGTGTGAATTCATCTGCCGCAGAGTGGTTGACAGAAGCAAGACCAGAATCAGGGCTTGTCTCCAGGGTGCAGTGTTTGGCTTTTGCTGGTCTGCAGACTAATGACGCATGCAAACGCAGGAGGTGAGATGGCAGAGATATGCCCCACAAAAGTGTTTCTGGGCTTCCTTTTCCCTCTGAATCCTTCCTGGTCAAGCCAAGGGTTTTTTCTCCCCCCTTCAGGACAGGAGCACAGTTTGGGAACCTGTATTTCCAGTTTCTGTAAGCATGCCATAAAATAAGCACAGGGAATGCGTGGTCAGGAAACTGCATACAGTTTATATTGCAATCTTCAAAAGGAGACTGGACGTACACCTTGCTGGGGTTACTTGACCCCAGCAGTCTTTCCTGCCCAGAGCAGGGGGGCTGGACCTGACGATCTCACGAGGTCCCTTCCAGCCCTAAACTTCTGTGAATTAGTGAATTTGTGAATCTGTGTTCAAAACTACGAAGTGACTAAAAGCACTCCGTGGGTGCTATACTGAGGGGGGATATACTGCTGCCTGGAAAGATCACTGCTTCCACAATCTGACCTGCCTTCCTAGTGAACAGGTTACTCTTCAGTTTTTTGCCCTGAGCCACTGTTGCTGTTTAACACCTGCCATGTTCCACACCAGAGATAGCCGCGTTTCCAAAGTAAGGGGGGATTATGACTCAGAGATGGCACATCCTGGCTTTAGGGGTAGGCTCCATACTGAGCATGGGGAAGAGGCACAATCAGAGCAGTGTGGTATCTAGGAAGAGTGAAGATGTACATGCAATATAGCGCATGTAAACAGATTAGGGGGTTGGCCACATCTCCCTGAAGTCAACAGGCCAGTCCTCCTTCCTAGAGATAGGAAGGAATTCTGTCCTGCTCATCTCTAGCAGGGGCATGAAGGCTCCTGGCTTTCCCACAAGTTTTGCCCCTATAACACAGAGCAAGGTTTGTCTCTGTGCTTGTGACAAAGCAAATCGAGCTCTTCAGAAGAAAGGTGCTGTCAGCATTGCTATGGGGAAAAGGCAGCCCAGTGCACCCTCCTCAGCAAGGAGGGGAACGGCAGGCACCGTCTGTAGCAGAGCAGACCCACCATAGGAAGGAGGTGTAGAAATAGGCCCGAACCCAGAGCCCTGGATCTGACCCCCTGGGACCTCCGGAGAAGTATGGGCCCGAGTTCAGATTCAAGCAACAAAGCCCATCTCTGTGATGACTTTATCTGAATCCAGCCATCTCTAGACTTTGGGGCAGCTGGCACCAGGTGGGAAGTTCTTTAGTCTGATGCCCTGCAAATGCCGCTTTGGTAGATAGCAAAATAGCAGAGCCACAAGGCAGACTTCCCTTCTCACTAGCATCAGGGAAAATAAGCTGGGCGGGAATATGACCGAACCCCAAACTCCTTCCTGGTCTCCCTAGAAAGCAGTCAGCAAACCAGTCACTGATTTTGGGTAGGTCCCTGACAGTGACACAAGAGGGCACTCGCACTCCATTTAGCATTCCCTGCACTCAGCTCGTTCTTCATCCCAGGGACTCTTCTGACCAGAAGGTTGTTCATAGCCAATTAAGATTTATTTCTCTGGTTTCTCAGCCCAAATGGAGAAGGAAATCCCTGTTATTAACTGCTACCCAACACAGAGACACCAGCCTGAGCCTCAGGCTCTCCTCGGGGCGGGGGGAGAAAAGAGGATGAGATGAGATTAGAGTTGGCAGAGATGATACACCCACTGCGCCTTCAAAGGGAACAGAGGCAATTGAGGCTTCCAGGTGCTTGATAGAAATGTCCACAGCCTGTTGGCTCAAGGGATTAAGCATGTGTAGCAGGAAATAACCTCGTGCTGGTAAGGCCAATAGAGAAGCAGCTGCCAGATCTGTGCAGTCACACACCTGTCCAGAGGGACACAGAACTGGACCCCAGAAAAGTGAACTTCAACCCTTTGCAAAGCTGTTTTCTAATTCAAGGGGAATGGGCTGCCTGTGTGCTTCTGACTCCCAGAGGCTGTCCACACTGACACGAGGCTGTCTCCATGCATGAGCGCTCCCAGCGAACACCATTTCCCTTAGGCCCCTGTTGCATATTACATATATTATGCAATTAACTTGTGAGTCGTGCAATAAATTCAGACTGGCCACACATGCAAAGCAAATATCATGCTATAAAAAAGACCAACCCGCTACAGAGTTAGTGCTTGAAATTGTGTAACAACTTTATAGCTGGTTTCTATCCAGCTTTAATTTGAACATGTGGCAGGGACCTTAATGAGGGTGGAAGGGTTTTTTTTCTGCCTGTTCAGAGCACATGGAAGCAAGACATCCCAAATGCATACAACCAGGCCACAGGTTTGTAAAGTGGAAGCAGCTTCATGGTATGTGGAGGAGACTGTGGAACATCCCTCCAAACCCCTCTCAGCTGATGGCATTTCTGGGAGTCTCATGGCCTTCTAAATATGGTTCAGGCAGCCTGATGTGGCATCTGTGGGTGAGTCTACACATGCATTAATGCGTTTTAGTTAATGCACATTAAATCTGGTACCTTCATTGTGAAGTACAAGGAAAACATGCATTAGCCTGTCTTAATGCACATTAACTAAAAAGCACAGGGTACTTTTACATGTGCTCTGTGGGTGAGGGGCAGTTTAATTAGAATGGGTCTGAAAGCCACTCTAATTAAAGCATCACTGCATCTTGTGTATCAGCATCCCTGCGCTTCAAAATGGTGGCAGGGAGCATTTGAACTAAAGCTTGTTCAACAAACTTTAGTTTAAGTGCCCCTGCCACCATTTTGAAGCATGGGGGTGCTGATACATGAGACACAGGAGACTACTGGAGTGCAATAATTACCATACTCCAGCAGAGTCGATTAATCGTAAGGTAATTATTGCTCTCGATTAATCGAGTCTGCTCCAATGCTCTGTAATTACAGTGCGTCAGAGGAACTCTACAGCACATCTATAGGCATCCTTGGTTTTTAAGTAATGCTTAAAAGTGCATTAGCCTATTTGAATGCACATTAGCGGAATAGCACTTTTTAGTGACACTTTAATGTACATTAAAATAGGCTAATGTGCATTAAAGTTCACGTGTCGATGCACCCTGTGGTAGCACAAGGCCTGCAGAGCTGGACCAAGGATTCCTAAAGAATTTACCTGGCAGCAAAGGTCATAAATATGCACACAAACATCAATACGAACCCACAGGGCCAGACCTGCGCAAGACTTCTTCATCCAGGGCTTTCACTGAGAGCAACCAGCGTGCATGTTTGCACAACTGTGTCCAGGAAAGACACAGGCTGGGTTGAGAGCTGCTTGAGGTTACCAAAGCAGCCCAGAGCAACTGGAATGCACTGTTACCTCTGACCCAATTTACTCCTATAGTGGCATCCAACGGGGAGGTAGAAGTCTGGAGAACATACAATGTTTTTGGCATGGAGTCGCCCATGGTGGAAGAACAATGGATCTACCAGACAGTAGAATTAGGCACACTGCATCCTATGTCCCTATATAACTGCTGACGCACGTACATTAGAGGAGTTCTTGGAAACAGATGTGACATCTAAATATGTGGCTAAAATTTCCATGATGGCCTCATATGTGTTTTGCTTTGTACACTTATACCTTTTTGGCTCAATTTTTTTTGGTCATTGTCAGCTCTGAGATGATTTGTGCTGACTTGAAACTCATGGCTAGGTTTTGAGCTGCCTGGGAGGGGTGATCCAGCCCAGTTATTCCCAGTTTCAAGTCTATACCTTGATAACTAAAGAAGGAATGAACTCAGCACATCACACAGAGGCAGTTTGGAGTGGGGAAATCCTGCAAAGAGAGTTTAAGGAAACAGCAAAAGAGGCAGAAGTGGATTTTAAGAAGCATGTGACCCTCTGAAAAGGCTCTTGCTTTTTTATTGAGCAACTTCATCACATCAGTTTGTTGAACAGTATTGCCACACACACTATATGGTCTGATTGTCCACAACCAGTGTTCCCATCCCCACCACCTGTGTATCCAGATGGACAAGGGAATGGGTTAATATAATACACGTCTTTCAGGTTTCATGGGTGGCACTGAGATCCATAAACTCCCCAGAAGGGAACCCTTTTGTCTGCATTTCATGGACTCCAGCTAAGAGTCAGATCCCTAATCTGATCCACCTGCATGCTTTCCTTCAGAAATTTCCCTTTCTCCCTGAAGAAGAAATCCCTCGTGGATTTGGCTTCATTTGTCTTCAAAGAGGTCACCCTGCTAGGGCAAAAAGGACATGTAGGAAAACCCAAAATCTGGGCTTAATTTGGAGCATGGCAGGCCCCTGTGATTAACGAGTGATTTAAGTACTGTGCAGTACTGACGTCACTCGTGTGAGCTGTGTTTATTACCATCCTCAGACTTGGATGCTATCGTTATGGCAACATACAGCAAATCCCATATTCTGATTTTTTTTTTTTTAAAGCAGAGCCCCTTCCACAAATAACCCCTCTCAGCTACCATGAGTATTTCTGGGCATGCTTACAACAGAGTAACCAAAGAGCCAGCCCTTACCGTGAATCCAATGCCTACGGTGGCAGAAAAAGATCCTGGAATGAACTTGCCCTGATCAAACTGGACCAGCAGTGATGTCTTCCCCACGCCGCTGTCTCCAAGCAAGATAGTCTGCAAGAATCAAAGCATCCTAGGTGAGGAAATGATCTGGGAAGCTGAACTTACAGGGGTTGGCTGGGAACCTCGAGTCCTCTCTGATGCATAGCACCCCTTCAAGCTGCATGGTGAAGATGGCAGGGAGAGGCTCCTGGGATCTGGGCCCTAAGGGTGCACCTGCATGGAAAAGCCAGAGGGTAAAACCCAGGTCCCGGGATGCCCTCCCCATCATAGAAATGCATCACTGGGCTACAGAGCCAGGCGCACTTCTGCGTGCTCTTTATCTGGCTCCATGACCCTTGTTCTTCCTGACCCAGCTTCAACAAAATTGTCCTCAGCCCAAGTTTGCATCCTCTCTGGCTGAGAAGGGTGGAGAGCTCAGGCCAGGAGCCCCTGAGGGCAGCAGTCACCTGCTGACCTCTCTGTGGCCCTTATTGGCACATGGAGCTTTGTGAAAACCCAACCACATCCTGGCTTTTGGGAAACCAGAGTTGCTGCACAGCTCTGACAACCAAGTGGCTGCCCCTGCTCGCAGATCAGACTGCCAAGGGAGAAGTTCAGCCCAGCTTCCTCTTCCCTTTCCTGTCTCAGGGCACAGGCATAACCTTGCTTTTCTCTGGTTTCTTGATTTGTAGGTAAGCTTGCAAAGAACAAAGTTACCATACTATGCCGATCCCACCAAGACAGAGTGAGCCATTAGCAACGATAATTGGATGCAAGGCCCCTACTGAGGAATATCCTGCAAAGGAAAAGTGTATTACATCTAGAGATGGATGCATAGTCCCATGGGCCCCTCCTAGGAGGCTCCTGCAACTCTTACCTAGGGTGCCTAGGGTCTGGAAAAGCTGGACCCTTCGGCAGAAGCAGTTTGCTCTGAAGTGGGGCAGCATCATTTCAAATGCACTGCTTCCGCCCTGCTCCCAGCCCTCTTGTGTTTGCTTCTCCCATCCTGGTCTGCAGCCCATAGGCCCCCTCTGCCTCTCAGCTGAATGTTAACAGATGAGGCACAAAATCTACCCCTTAGCCCCCACTGCAGTGAGGATAATAAAGCTAATGATAATATCATTGCCCATAAAATATGAATTCTCTCTAGCTGGGTGGGCAGGTAGCAGTTTCCGTGGCTGCTACCCGGTCACATAATACAGATACACGCAGCATCAAATCAGAAGGGATGTTCTCCGCGCACTGGATTGAAGCCAGGCCTGTCCCCTGTCCCCTGCCTCCTGCCCTGTATTTGTGAACAAAGGCGGAGCACCGGGAAGTGAAAGATCACACAAGGACCAAAAGAGGAAGTATCTGAATCAGTGCGGCAGACACAAAGCCGTCCTGGAGGGAAGCAGACTCCACTTGCTGCAGTATTTTCCACAACGGATGGGAGAGTCAGTGAACAAGGAGGCCATTATGAGGACCATGTGGCTGCCCCTTGCTGGGGGCGTTCTCCTCCTTCCAGGTGAGCGCTTCATCTTGCTCCTTTTGCAGGGGAGGACTGCTGAATGGCACACAAGCTGGCATTCAGCCTCTCTCTCTGGCTGGGAGGGGGAAGCTACCAGGGCATACTGCAGCCTTCAGAACTTATACCCAGTAACGTTCACGTTCAAACTAAGGGGGCTCATGTACACAGCCCCTGAGGAGCTAAATGCGGCGATAGTCCTGCCTGTTTCCTCTGTGTCGGAGCACAATGTCTTTCATAGGCTCTGACACGCCCAGTATGAGCTGAGGGCATGGGCCCCTTGGGTACTGATTTCAAGCTGCCTCTACCATCCAGTGAAAGGCAGACTGAGTTTGGCCTGACTTATTTTCCAGGCTATGTCTCTGTGCTGGCTGCTCAGCTGACTGGCCCTGGGGAGATGAGCGGGGTCCTGGGCCAGTCTGTGTCTGTGCCGTGTCAATACATGGAAAAATACCAGACAAAAAAAAAATACTGGTGTGGAGGAGAAAATTGGGAATCTTGCTCCAAAGTCGTGGAGAGCATGGGGTCTGAGGATGAGGTGCGGCAGGGCAGAGTCTCCCTCCGAGACAACCACCTCCTGCACACGTTCACCGTGACCCTGGAGAACCTCACCCTGGAGGACATGGGGACCTACTGGTGTGGGATAAACCAATTTGGACAGGATCTTAATGCCCCAGTGAAGGTGACTGTCTTCCCAGGTGAGTCCCTTAGAGCACTGCCCAGCTGCTGGAAGGTGGGGGTGCCTGGTCGTGGGGAGACAAGAGAGGGAGTGGGACTGGAGGACAGGCTGCGGCTGTGTCCCCACGAGGCTGTTTCCTGAGCAGACACGCTTGTCATGGTGCAGCAGTGGACTGAGTGCGGCCTTTGCTATGGACACAGCACAGAGCCTCAGTCTTGCCCATTCGAGCTGTGGCAGGGAACCAACCGTGAGAGGTCTGTAATATCCCTGCTTAAAACACAGGAGCATCTAAAGCAGTCACCAGCCTGAATGAGGTACGTAGGCATCACAGGTAGGGAATGGGGTTTAACTGAAGATTATGTCCCGGGCCTGAAAGCTCTGGGCAGCACTGCGGTGTCTGCACCCTGCCTGCTTCAGGGGTCCCCGATCTCTGCCCTTTGCTGCAGTAGAGACATTCATCGCCGAGTGCCATGCCAGCCGGGGGCTGTGTGTGTCCTTGTGTGAAATAACATTTGCTGATGGCGGTCTAGTATAGTGGTGCGCTACATTTTGGCCCTGCTGGATCAGGATCGGGCCCTGTGTCAGCCTTGTGCACAGAGATTGACTCTTGGGGCCCTGCGCCGCCCCTGCCTGGTGCCAAGATTGGGCCTCACTGCCCAGCCCCGTGTGTCAGGATCAGTCTCCATGCCACCCTAAGTGCTGGGATTGGGCCCCTATGCCATGCTGCATGCCTGAGCTAGCACACAGGGATGGATAACACTGGAGAAGTTATCCACATGAAGCCTCGTGGGCTGGCTAACGCTGGAGAAGTGACTTCAGTGCACTGTGTTTTCTGACATACATTTTTAGATCTCTCCGCCACAAAGATGGTGATAACAGCTGGATTTATCTCCACAGTAAGCAGCACTGTGAGCCCCAGGATGACCACACATGCCAGCCCTGCAAGGTAGGAGCAGATGGGTCAAGGCAAGAGCTTCAGCATGTTGTAGACGGAGGCAATCAAGGCTGAATTTCTAATGCCTGGCTTTGCTTGCTTGGCACTGCCTGTACTGGCAGACACTGGTCCATCCCAGTTAATGAAGGCAGCCTGGGCTGCTGGGCAAGTACCTACTTGAGTTGTGCTGACAAATGTGGACTTTGCATGTGAAATATAGGGAAGTTCCCAGCCTCAGTCAGGCATGACGGCTGATGCACTGCCTTGGGCACATTGTGTTACCCTATACACCACTGAGGCCCAGAGCAGGGGAAACTCAGCATAAACTCTACAGGAAGCTCCACTTTGCTGGGGGAAGCACTACACAAGAGAGATAAACATGAGCTGCCCTGGGTTGTAGATGGAGCTAGTGACAGCCAAGACCTCAGGAGCTCCTGTCACGTGGGCAGGCCATGAGGCCACGCTCCTTCAAGGCCTGTGCATCCTTGCCAGACACTTCCGCCCTTGGTTTCCCCTGTCATGCTCTCCAGGTCAGCACCCGAGAAGTTGCCCTGGGCTTTCCGCTGCATAAGCCCTTCTTTCTTCACATCCTCCTGCTTCCCAGAAGATCCATCCCTTCCCCCAGAGAGCACTGTTGTCCTTCCTTTTTCCAGGGCACGGCTCACAACAACGGCTGAGCCCCCAGTCATTCTCCTGGCAAGATAGTCCCTCTCTCTAGAGAGATTACTCCACTTGCTTCTTTCCTCTTGCCCCTCTGTTTGATTTAACACTAACCCCATTATTCTACTTCTGTCACACTTCTCCTTGGCCTGCGCACTGTCAGCAAATGAGCTGGGTGTGCCCACAGTTCATATAGAGCTGCCATGTAGAGCTTCTCAGTCATCCTTTTCTGCTCCTTATCCCACAGGCTTGGGTGGTCAAGACCTCCCTTCTTTTTCTTACATTTACTCCTCTTGCTTAGGAACTTGAAGTCTGGTCTATACCCAAAGCAAAGGTTACACTAATTATGTGATTTCTGTACTGATTTAGTTAAACCTAGTGCAACTGTGCATGTGGATACTCAACAAATAGGTTTAAAGCTGGATTTTACAATGTTTGGCTTCCATTGGTGCAAGTTAAGTTCAATGCAATCAGTTTTAAGAGCATCAGCAAGGCTGCTTGCAATGGTTTAAAACTCCAGCTGTTTTGAAACCCATTCACGTTAAATGTGTGCAATGCATCCTATTGGGTAGTTCTGTGTCATCCCACATGGCAGCCCCACTACCACAAGCTCTGCTTTGTATGAGGCTCCTTCTCCAGAAGGAAGGGCCTCTGCTTTTAGGAGCTGAAACTAGATTTGTGACACAATTGCTTTACTCAGATCTGACCCGAGTTTGGAGCTTGGGAAAGACCGGGTCTGGGTAACAGAGGGCAGGGCTGGATAGTGCGGGGAGCTGGTAGGGACTGGAGTTCCCCACGATTGAGCAGCAGTAGCCAGGAGGAGTTATCAGTGGCAGGGGCTGGGACTGGGCATGGATATCCTCAGGCTCAGGAAGAGGAAGCAGCTGAGGGCTGGGGGTGAATGCTACCTCTAGCCCTGATGGCCATGGCTGGTGAAGATGGCTGGCATGAGTGACCTGGTTCAGTAATGGCCACTTCTCTCAGCCTTCAGTCAGGGGCTCAGTTGCACGGGTGGGCCTACAGTGAGGGCAATGTCTCATGGACATATTTTGTCCTTTTTCTTTCAGCTCTATTTTCACCAACCCCATGTTCCTGTTGCCAATGGTCATCTTGGTTTTAATCCTACTGATAGGCATCTTGGGTTTTCTTCTGGCAAGGAGGAGGATGCTGAAGAGGCAAGAGGGTGAGAGCTGCAAGGAGGCATCTGCCTCCATCTCAATCTCATCAGTGATCCACCGCTGTCCCTGCCCTGTCCCCAGAGCTCTAGACAACCAAACTCATGCTAACATTATAGCTGCAGTGAGCCAAGGATCCAAAATGGAGAGTCCTGCCCCCACACCATTAGATTTAGAACAAGGCCATGGAAGTGGCTGCCCAGACCAACACAGCAGCCAAACCCACTTCCATCTAAGCCGCGGACTAGCAGCCTCTGAGGACTAGAGAGAAATCCCTTGACTCAACCCTCCCACCTCAAGAGACTGTTTCTCTTTTTACATTTTGATCCAAACCTTCTCACCATGTCTGAATGATGTGCAAAGGATAGTTGTGCACCCAGGCACTGGTTGGTGGGGGAGGAAGGCTAGGAAGACTTGGGATCTGTTCCTAGACTTGCCATAGTCCCCAGTCAAGAACAAATTGCCCAGGGTACCCAGCACACAGGAACACGCTTCCTGGCCCATTTGTGTAGGGAGGTTGCAGCAGTGAGCACCACTACTTGTTGTATAATGGAGACCTTCTTCTTCCTCTTTACCAAGTCCCCTTTGAACACCCTCACTCATGCCTCTCATTGATTGGTTCCACAGTAAGACTGACCCTACAAGACAACAGGCAGTTCCCAGTCGAGCTAAGCCTTAATGCTCATGCATGATTTTGATGGATGCATGCACAATGCTTTAGCACAGATTCAAGGCCTGGTGGAAGAGGGAGCCTGGGTGCTCACACTCTGCAGGATGAAGCCCTATGTTCTTCTAAATCTCAGCTCTCTCTTCCATTTGTGATGCACCAGGCTGGAGCCAGGCCATACGCTGGAGTTTGTTGCAATGTTCAAAGCCAGGAGACAGCAGAGTTACCCAATCCGTTCCCCCTTCCCCAACCTACCAACTTAGCCATAAAGGGTGCATCCAAATGAGCATGCACTTGTGGTTTGTAGTGTCTCAAACCTGCATCCTGGTGCCAAAATTTGATGTCCTGGTATAAAAAATAAATAAATACATAAATAAAACCACCACACAAAGCAGTGTGGTGCACATGGCTGCAACATGCAGCACCAGAAATGGAGCCTGGCTGTCCAGAGCCACTCTCTGGTTGCCAGCCAGGCTCCATGTGGTACCAGGTTAGACCATCAGAACAGAAGAGACCCGACCCAACTGCTATGCCCAGCCTGTGTCCGTGTGTTATAACTTGCCAGGGCACCATGGCACGGAAGCCTTAGAATCCCCACCCCTTTCTTTTCTCCATCAGCTTCCCCTGTGTGAAGTGCTGCTCTCTCATGCCACAGGATCGCAGCAGGAGCATCCATCACAGACTATATGCAAGATAGGGTCCTGATGTGATACCTGTGTATTATCACCTCTATGAGGGTTGCAACAGAGGCTGTGTTCATTCCAGGTGTCCCAAGTCCCCTTGGAAGACTTACAAGAGAGCATATATCCACCTGTGCATGCCACCTACCAACACATGCTTGAGCCCTCTCTGTAGAAAGGGGTCCACTCAGCTAGTCTCCAAGAGCTAATATACTTCAGAAGTTTGGCCCTAATCCTATAATGTCCAGAGGGTCCTCCCTGCCCCCAGTTTCCAGCCTTGTCCTGCTCCTCTATAGCTATTATCTTCCAGCAGTTGATCCCACACTGTGACATCCCTATGATAAAGTGTCTCTTTTCTTTCAGCTGATGCAGTCCTTGAAACAACCCCAGGATCAAGTGAGGTAAGAGAATGCGGTGGCTATTTTCCTCTGTCCCAAGAAGTCACATTTCTCCAGCTCACAAAGGTCTGAGCCAGTGAGTCACAAACAGGGTGCCACGAGATCCTTCCAAGGGTGCAGAAGGGTGCCACACAATGTTTGCACTGCCCAGTGTGCAAACATGATTCACAATATAAACTCAGAGATTTCACATAGAAACCTATCCCTGTGGTCTTTCCAAGTACTTTGCAACAGCAAAATTGCTTTATTATTTTTCTGTGGTCAAAAAAAAGAATAAAAACTAAGAGCCAGCATGCTCTAGAAGGTACCTTAAGTCTATCAGAGGTTACATGAGTCTGTCTAGGTGTTTAAAAAGGTTGAGAACCACTGATGTAGACATACAAGAGGCACATTAACAACTTAATCAAATTCCAACCTGGGGCTCGCAGAGCTCAGTCATCCCAACCTTATAAGATGACAAGGAAAGAAGAATCCAAAATGAGTAGAAAATGTAGGAGGATCTATCAGAAGAGTGCAAGGACCAGAATCATTGCAAGGGGCTGACCAGAAATGATTTATCTTTGTCACAGGAGAAATGGTCTATTGGAGGGGGTTCTGGCCAGGCAGTCAAGATCTCTAGATGTGCCAGTCGCTAATTGGGTGACCTTAGCTGAATCTTTTTTGCATCTCAGTTGCACAGTCTGTACAACAGGAGGAACCTCCTTTTTGTCAGTACTTCAAGTTTGGTGTTGGACAGTTCTGGGCCAATGCTAGCTATTAGTAGGACCCTTGCTGGAAAGAGCAATTAGAAAGGCATGGTGTGTTTGAGGTAATCTAGAAAGGAGAACAGCTGAAGGGACTAGATGACTGTGTGGTTAGATCACCTTAGAAATGGTCACTGATAGTGGACTGTGGTAGGTGTCCCATGCACCTCTAATTTAGTTAGTCTATGAGGTTCAAATCTACCCTACTTTCTGCCTGACTTCAGACTAAACCCCTCCCCCTGATCACTGGAGGTACTCAGAGCTCTAGGACCCACACAGATTCCAAGCCAGAATATGTTAATTTTTTTTCAGGCTCCAGAGGAAGCAAAAAGTGACATTGTCTATGCAAATGTGACTACAAAGCCCAGAAAATCTATACATCAATCTCTCACATCCAGCTCTACCCAGCCTGAGCACTGCCCTGAAAGTGTGGAATACGCCTGTGTGGTAAGGACTTCTCCTGCACTGGAGGCTGCTTGTGAATGCTTCAGGCTCATCGAAGCACCCCAAAGTACCACAGTGGGTTCAGCACCCTCAAGGTCTACGGCTTGTGTACCCTGGGTGGTACAGAGCCCTAACAAAGACCAGACCCTCGGTGGTGGCAGCAGTTACCCTAGGCTTGTGGGTGGGCTCCAGGAAGGGGGTTGGCCGGACATAGGTGCCCCACGGGGGACACTTGAAGTGTGGTTTTTGGTCAGGTGCAGTGAGGCGGGTGGCCTAGCTTAGTAGCACCCCATTACTATCCCGCCACACCCTACCTTCTGCCTGACTTCAGACTAAACCCCTCCCTCTGATCACTGGAGGTACTCAGAGCTCTAGGACCCACACAGAGATTTCAAACCAGAATATGTTGATTTTTTCAGGCTCCAGAGGAAGCAAAAGGTGACGTTTTCTACACAAGTGTGACTACAAAGCCCAAAAAATTGATCAATCAATCTCCCACACTCAGCTTTTCCCAGCCTGAGCACTGCCCTGAAAGCGTGGAATACTCCTGTGTGGTAAAGACCCCTGCATTTATTCTTAAAAGGAAGAGAAGTTGGAACATATTCTTTTGATTCCTTATATTGCCTTTAAATCTCACCTCTGAGGTTTCCGTACAGTACTTGCATCCAACATCCATATCCATTATGGTGCATCGCAGCGGAGGAGGCTTTGAAAATGAAGCCCTGTTTTCATGGGAAATACAGTGGCTTTGAGAGGGGTTCTAGAAAAGACTCTATGAAAATTCCTAGAGGTCTAGAAAAGTTTAGTCTCCATCATGTGCATCAGTGTTCATACTGTGCTCTCCAGCCATCACCTTGGAGGATCAATTTTGCTTTGCCCTGTGCCCATCCAAAGTTTCTGTACAGCTGGCAAATTTCCTAGGCAGGGTGGAAAGCTGTAGGTCTCCCCTGAGTACATGCAAATGCCATACAAATTCTGTGCATATACAACAACTGGTCAACAATGTGCCTAGTTATAAGTGTTCATCTAGTATGCCAAGCTCCCTGCAGTGATGTGTCCTCATTTGAGTGGCTGGAGTGGACTGTCAGTTCTGAGAGAGGAATTGGGGTTGGGGGGGAAACAGGCAATTCTGCACACAGAAGATGGGGAAAGATATGAATGCTCGGTGTGATGCATTGATTATGCCCTGTATGGGCATTCGGGTGACTTGATATACATCTGTATGGCCTCTATGGGAAGCCCAAGACCATGTCTCACAGGTGCCATTACAGACCTGAGAGACACCCCTAGTTCTGCCCTCCACATGCCCAAGACTGAGATCCTCAGGGAATCTCTGAACATGCACCAAAACCAGCCACATGACACGTTTTGGCACATATAGAACAGGAGTGAATGGGCAGGATTTTAACCTAAATCCAGGGTTGAGCTACAAAGTTGGTAGAGACACCCTGAAGCAAATAAAGCTACTGGGATATAATGTTACTTGCCGCCTCTTCTCTCTGACCAAGGCTGCTCAAATTTTTCAGGCTCCAGAAAGGACCATGGTTTCTTACTCCACACTGAAGTTCCCCATGCTGGAGTTGGAGGCTTATTCTGCCAACATGGATGTGTCCTCCAGACCAGCCCTTTGGACAGGGCCCTTGGAAAGAACAGAGTACTGCTGGATGAAAAGGAAGTAGGTCCCTGTGGACCTCTGTGCTTCTCTGTTGGAGCATGTTGGACCTTGCTTTTCTTCCCCTGCAGCTGTGGGGAAGGGCTGGGATTCCATATGGGGCCTGAAGGCTTCAGGCAGCTGAGGTGAGCTGGTAGTGGGAAAGCCCCTCCAGTTTCAACAAATGCCGGCTGGAACCAGATTGAGATAAAAGAAGGGTCTGGCACATCTCGGAAGCATGTGGGGCAACAAGGAGCCCTGTGGAAAGGCAGGCAGATCTCCATCTTTTGATCTTTGGAGTATATTTTGGTCATGCCTTGTACTTTCTCATGCCAATTAAAGCTTCAAAAAAACATGACCCTGCAGGGATGGTCTCCAAGGTGCATAGACCTGCTTCAGCTTTCTGCACACAGCAGAGGGGAGAGGGGATGGGACCAGGATCCCATCAGAGCTAGGATAACTGACTTATTTTAGGATGATCTAGTCGCTGTGAGTATCAGAGTGACTTGGAAACTATGGCAGCACTTGGGACAAGGCCCTCAGAGTCAAGGCAATGGTGTCATGGGGTTGGCATTGGATGGGGGAAAAGGTGACCCTCAGAAGCAGAAATATAGGAAATTGAGGCAACTGATGCTGGTATGGACTTCTGAGAAAGAAAGTGCCAGGGAGCTCCCAAAGTAAAGCATCATGCTGGACTGGAGAGGAGGATTCGGCAGTCAGGGAGACAAGGTATTGGTGAAAGAAGGCAGAAAGTGGCAGCCCACAATGAGGAGGATCCAGCCATCAAACTGCTGAACATGGGGATGTCCTTAATAGCATGGACCAGGGAAGGATGAGCATTTGCTCAAGGAACGCCCATGCTCAATAGGACTGGCTGGCAGCCTTAGGTGTTCCCAATCACTGCTGTAACACCACTAAGAGCTGGTAAAGTGCAGTGCTTGAACCTCGGGGGTTACCATACAGACCCTTTATGTGACTACAGTTCTCACCACCATGTACTATGACATTGCCTTAGTGGAACCAACAGCACTGAACCATCTCTCAGGTTGAACCAGCTGGGCATCTCCTGGGTCTGGTCAGCTGTTTTTTTTGGAAAATGCCAGTCATAGGAAAAGTTTATGAAAAATGTAACTAGTTAAAGTGAAAAGTTAGCAGCCTTTAAAATTAACTGAAGTTAAAACTTAAATATTTCCACTTTCAACTAGTTAAAAGGTAAGTTAAAAAGAGAGTAACTAGTTAAAAGTTAAGTTGATTTGTAGGCCTGTGCGAGTTGGCAGCGAACCAATCCGGCTTTGGATCTGGCCGTGATCTGATCTGGAGCTCTGGACCGGGTTTCCGCCTCGATCCGGTCAAAGTGGCGCTGAAGCTTTGGAGCCGCCTCGGACATCCAGCCATAGAGTATAATGGGGAATCAATGAAATATCTATAACTTTGTTGCTTTTTGTCCAATTTGGATGAAACTTGCAGGGTGGCAGCCTCTGCTGAGAACATGAAGCCTGCCAAGTTTCGAGAAGATTGATGCTGGGGTTTGGGGGGAACTGTACCCCAAATTCTTGAAAGCCAAACTCATGTCACGGCTGTGTGTTACATCACAGGCGGGGTCAAAACTGCAGGGCTGGTAGCTCTTATTGAGGCCACAAAACTTGCCGAGTTCCAAGGAGATCGGTGCAGGGGTTTGGGGAGAACTGCCCCTCAAGCTGTGGACAAGCAAACTGGTTATACTTGTCATATAGTTTTCAGAATAACAGTTTACCAATACCTATGTAACGTTGGATCCTTTTCACCCTTTCCATGTGAAGTACTTTGTAAAAGTCAATGCATCATATAGGTATACCAGAATAACAGAAAGGAGCTATTCATAGCCTGTTGACAAATGAAAGCTGTTTCCACAGAAAACCTCCGTTGTTACAATTTTTATTGCTCAAAAAGTAACAAAAGGGTATGAAATACATCTGAATGAGAAATAATGAAAGTGTCTGAAAATCAAAATTAGTCTGAAATGAGAAAATCAGTTTAAATGAGAAGAAGACTGCTCAGTTGCATAGCAGAAATGGTTTAAACATGCTTATTGAACTTCAGCAAAAGCTGCTGTAGCCCAGGTAACTTGGGTATATACTCCCCTTCTCCAATTGAAGGGGACTGTTAGCTGGCAGGTGTGCTGCGAGATGGGAACTGCAGACCGCTCGGTTTCCCTCTGTCCCTATAGATCCAGGCCAGGACAGTCAGGGGACTTAACTACTTACACATTTATTTACATTAACGTATCACAAGGGAAAGGAACATGGATTTAAACATATGTACAATATATTATATATAAGATATCTAAACCAGTAACATAAACAATACTCTCTGGGTAAATGACATAAAACCTTATACCAGTGCTCTAGATACAGGTAAGTCACAGGTAAGTATCTGATCTGAAACAGATAAACCCAATCCTGAGGGGAAACCCCAAAGCCTCGGGCTCTGCCCTGTCTGCTGGCTCAGTAGCCTGAGCATCCTATGGGTCGGAGGCCTGGGCTGCCTTGTGCAGCACCAGGCTCGGTCCGCTCCCGGACCCTCCGTGCCATGCCTCCTGCACTGAGCTCCCAGCCTCGTTCCAGGGGTTGAGGACCTGAGCCACCCAAGCACTCCAAAGGTCCTACTCCGTGCACTGGCCTGTGCACCGTGTCTCTGGCTGCACGCCAGAGGTTGCAGACCTGAGCCCTCTCACGCAGCTCCCAGGGTCTGGACACCGTGTGCTGTGCTGCACACCTGGAGTCGTCTGCCATTCCCCACTGATGGAAGTCTTCAGGGGCGCTTCTGGGCTACCGCTCCACCCTGCTGAGCAGCTCTCCTCAGCTCTTCTAAGCCCCGCTCTTCTCTCTTCTCTGTCCCCTCATGCTGGGCACGCAGCTCCTTTTATACTCTCCAGGGCTCCGCCCCGAAGTCTTCCCGACATGAGTGTTGCAGTCTTCAATCAGGTCGGGGAAGGAGGGGGGGACACTCCTCTCCCCTGCCCCTCAGGAAAGGGGTGTGACTTAACTCCCCTTGCTGCCTCCTGATTGGTAGATGAGCTCCACCAATCAAAACAGCAAGATTTCAAGCCTGGGACACAACCCAAGCTCCAAAAGGCAAGCCTGCTACACTGCATTTCAAAATTTACATCTGACAATTTTCCTCTTCCGTCTTGCAAAACGAAGCCCCCAGTACTGAGCAGTCGCTCTACATGGGCAGATGAGGGGATGCTTGTGTTATAACAGATAAATAGTTTTTTCATAGTAGATGACATCTCAGATAAGTTTCTCACAGATGAGAAGTAACGCTTAACTTCTTGGGCCCTGGGCTGCTGGTTCTGATCTTCATTAACATTTTTAAAAGTCATCATCCGCTTCACCCTCACTACTTGCTCCCACTCTTACTGGGATCAATGCCTCTGCTTGCTTGTGCTTGTTCCCTCTCCTGCAGCCAACTGGTTCCCTGTTGACTTCTGCAAATGCACAGAAAATGCCAATGTGAACTAAGGAACTCTGGGACTTGTAGTTCATAAGAGACCGTATCTCATAGGAAGGCACACTACTGTCTCTCAAACAAGTCCTAGAGTTTCAATAAAGAAATGTCGTTCCATGTAAGTCCTAGATAGTGGCCATGTCAGGAAAAACTCTGGGAAAGCTGGATTTCAATTTTTTTTAACTTATACTTTAAAAAAGTTAAAGTTAACCTTTTTTTTTTTTTTTTTTTTTTAACTGAAGTTAAAAGTTGACAGCTGAAAAATGTAACTAGCTAAAGTTAAAAGGTAGCCATTTCTTTAACTAGTTCATTAACTAGTTAATTCCCATGACTGGAAAATGCACTAAGTTCTTGGGCTCCACAGAGGTGTAGCTGGGTGCCGTTTGATGCAGGAAGTCAGAGTAGATGGCCTGCAATTCAAAATCCAGGACTCTCACTCTTCGGAGGGTGTGGACCCAGGGCCTGGTCCTAAACCCACAGAAGTGATTTCCATTGGCATCAGCAGGATTTAAATCCAGTATCGATGTGGCTCAGTCCCAGCGTCTGTGTTCATTCAGCTGGTCTTCTGGAACCCAAGCACTTTATTTGAACCCTTTGAATGCTGCTATGGCCTGGACCTTCTCCATCAGATATATATAACTGCATGAAGGGGTTCGTTGGGGTGGGCGAGCTGAGGCAGGAACCTTTCCGGGTGTGATAGTTGCAGGACCGCACTATGCCATATTCTGTGTCCCCTCATCCTGGCTTGGGGCCAGATTCTATCCCAACCCTTGGGACTATAAAATGGGCTTAGATTTTATTCCACTCTGTTCAAGTCCTGAAAAGCCATTAATGCATCTACTTTTGTAACATGCTGTCATCTGACCCTTAAGACGGAGTCACAAAAAGCAGTGAGAAGGGCCCACCCACCTTTCACACTGACAGTGTTTCAGGGACTTGGCAGGGTGGAAGAGATTCACACTTAGATGCCTAAATGCAATTGCAGGCCTAATAGATGGAAGAAAGTCTGGCCCTGGGTGTTTTGCCTGGGTAAAGCCTCCAGGATTAGTCTCTTCAGCCAATGGGCATTAAAATCAATAGCAATCTTTGCATATAAATCATTGAATTTTGGATGAGACCCCGAATGATTAACATACACTAGCCTTCTCTGCTGTAGGCTGATGTGCACACACACGTGCTGCCTCAGGCATAACACTGCTTGCTGTAAGTGATTCACTTGACCAACTTTTCCAGTACAAGATGCCGTCTTCACAATACATTCATTCAGCGTATTCACAGCTCCTTTACCCTTTGGGTTCTATATTTGCAATATCATGACATAAGAGTCATGCAGCTCTGTTTTCTGGCCTGCAGAATACTTAGCAAATGCTATTTAACCCTCACAGTGCACCTGCAAGGCAGGGAGTAAAGCTATAGTATCCCAGAGGGCGAGCCAGTAAGTGATGTGCCCAAAGCCAGTGAAGGAGTTAGTGTTAGAGATGGGTTTAGCCTTCAGGGGCTCCCAATTCTTAGCCCCTCTGCTTAGGCAACAGTTCTCTCACCACAGAGGTGGACAAGCCTTTGCTAGTCGGATCCAAATCCAAAATGCCCTCTTGTCAGGTCTGTAGACTAACACAGATCCATGGATGTGCTTGCTGGATATGGAAATCCACTTCCCTCGATGGAAACTTTCTAGCACTAATGATCAGTCTCTCCTTTCCAGTCCCCTTTATATTATGTATGATTCCATTTTTAAAGCCCTGTGGGCACTGATGCACAAGGCACAATTTGACTCATATAGTTGTGCAGTTTCCAAACGTTTGTAGGGGAAGGAAGAGAAATATAAAAAAACCTATGTGCAGCAGGCCAGATATTGGTCCCACTGA